CACCGAGATTGATTTCCAGTTTAGATATAGTAATTAATGGACTGGTATTATCAGAAGGAACATGAAAATAGGAACCTTGAATTGTTAGACTATATACTAATTTAATGTCTGTTTTAAACCCTAGATTAGAAGAATTTGAAAGATTGAATACTCTTTCTAAGAAAGTAGTTGTCCCTCCAGAAAAGGCAATGACACGTGTACATTTTCACCGATCACCGGCAAAGATAAAGCCTCCAAAAGTTAAGGTAAAGTGGACGTTATGCTAACCACGATGGAAGGAATGACAGAGAAGCAAAACAATGAGTTTTCCCTCCTGATTCGCTCTCAGGAAATTGAATACCAGAACTTGAGATTTCCGGTAGATTTATCGAATCCATTCGCTGTGGCAACCGTTTTAAACCAGGAACCAGGCAAATTGAAGATTAAAGAACTGAGAGAAGGTAAGGAGTTGATCCGGTGTAAACCAGCCCCCGGGCAGAACTGAAAAGAGTTACTTCTTGTCACCTTTACTCTCTATGAGCAAAAACAACAAAACGCAGTTAGATCGCTGTTCTGTCTCGCCATTAGAAATGTGTTTTTCTCTCCGCAAATGGTTCTGATTTGATTACTGGTATCATCATTGTCTTCTCCCGCCCTCAGTTTTGGACCAAGGCACTCAGATTTCAAAAACCAGACAGATGAAGGAAGCACTCTTTGAACAGAAAGTCAGGCAGGACACTTACGAAGAGATCGAAAATCGCCTGAAGTGGTAAATATTGTGCAGTTGATCTGTATCAAGTGACAGTGTTTTGAGTCATGGCTTTTGATACCTGAGACACAGTGAGATGTAATAACTTTGTATGCCCTGTGAAAAATGTGATGATTCTCTCCCCTTTTCGTGGGCCTTCTATTTCAGAATGAAGTTTCTGTTCGAAATGAATCAGTGTGATCAAACTGCACTCTTTCCTAAGTGTGACCAGTGGCAGGACCAGAGTGAACCACAGGAGAGGCTGGGTCACTGCTTCTTGGCCACCGCTGCCGGCACCCGCCTCGCTCCAGACAGATCTGGGGGACTCGGGCACCCCAAGCCTTACCCCACTGTCTGTCACCCTACCCTGAACCCCCTGGACCCGGGGCTGTGTGCCCCACAGGCCTTCTGGGGAGCCCAGCAGTGCAGACGGGGGCGGGCAAGGCTCCTGGTGCAAGTTTTAAAACTGAGATGCAAGACTTCGGCTTTGTGCTCCTGCAAACAAAATAGAATCCTTTGAGAAGTTTTGACCGGATCGCACTAGGCCTATCTGTGTGTACAGATTCAGCTGAGTGGAGTTTTAAAACAAAAAGATACGCCTGGAAAGGGTCGTTGAGAGGCCGCCTGGTCCATGCTGCTGCATCCACACTTCCCAGACAGAGAGAACACACCCTGAGGTCTGGGGCCCTCCCAAGTGTTCCCCACCCTGCACCCCTCTTCCATGGGGGGGGTGGGGGACGCCCATTTTTTCTCACCGAAATCCTTTCTGTGAATTCACAGAATTCTGGGAGTCTCTATTTAGGGTCTGGCCTCAGTTGATTGGTAGGTATGCCAAGTAACCCAAACCATTAAAAAAAAATACTCTTTCCCTGTTACATATTAAACACACACACACACACACACACACACACACACACACACACATTGTCATTGTAGAAAACTTGAAAATATTTTTTAAATTTTTAAAAAATTTATTTGTTTTAATGGAGGTACCAGGGATTGAACCCAGTATACCACTGAGCTATACCCTCCCCCTGAAAATATTTTTTAAGTGTAGAAAAGAAAAAAAAAATCACTCTAATGCAGTGGCCACTGTTAACACTGCTGTGAAGCCTTCCTTCTATGCTTCTTTGTAATGTACTTGAAATCACATCTTGATTCAGTTTTGAATCGTGTGTTTGTTCACTTGATTATTTTCTCCCAATTTTTTTGTTGAAAGGTTTTCAACCTGCTGGTAGCACCCATGTGCACTGGGTATAGGTTCCTCAGTTGTTAACTTTATACCATGTATGCGTCCCTCACCCTCTGCACACACATGTGTGCACAGGCACAAATACACACATGCACACACACCCCTTTTATTTCCCTGAACCGTTTGGAAGCAAGTTGCAGATATCATGAAACCTCACCCCTAAAGGCTGTAGCATGAAGCTCCTAAGAACAAGGACGTTCTCCAGCACTACCACAATCACTTCCAAAAAATTTAACAACGCAAGATTAAATAAATCAGCCTAGTTGCAAATTTACCCAGTTGTTGCAATAATGTCTCTTATAACTGAGATTTTTGGCTTTTAGAGAGGGGAATCCAAGGTCCAATCAAAGCTCATACAATTTGTATTAGTTTTCATGTCTCTTTAGTCTCCTTTAATCTAAAACAGTTCTCTAGACACCCCCTTCCCTTTTTAAATCATAGCTACCATTTACTTTGAACACATGCCAGGCTACTTGGGTACCTTACATACCAGAGTTTTTAAGTGTGACAAATTCATGTAACATAATATTAATATTATTACATAATATTAACTGCTTTAACCATTTTTAGAGGGGTAGGTAATTTACTTACTTGTTTATTTTAACAGAGGTACTGAGGACTGAACCTGGGACTTCGTGCACACTAAGCTTGCCCTCTACCACTGAGCTATAACCTCCCCACCAACCACTTTAAAATGTACAACCCAGAGGTTCTTAGTACGTTCACAGTGTTGTGCAACTTCCAGAACATCTGCATCACTCCAAAGAGACACCCTGTAACCATTAAGCAGTCACTCCCCATTCTCCTCTTTCCCAGCCCCTGGCAAACAATCATCTACTTTCTATCTCCATAGTTTTGCTTATTCTGTGCATTTCATATAAATGGAATCTAATAATATATGGCCTTTTGTAACCAGCTTCTTTCATTGAACATGTTTTTAAGGTTCATCCAAGTCATAGCATCTATCGGTACATTATTCCTTTTCAGGGCTGAGTAATATTCTATTGTATGGACACACTACATTGTGTTTATTCATTCATCAGTTGAGGGACTTTAGAGTGGTTTCCACTTTTTGGCTATTGTAAATAATGCTGCTCTGAATATTTATATACAAGTTTTGTGGGAACATATCTTTTCAGGTCTCTTGGGTATATACCAAGGAGTGGAATTGCTGAGTCATATGGTAATTCTATGCTTAATGTTTCAAGAAACTGCCAAGCTGTGTTCCATGTGGCTGCACCATTTTACATTCCCATCAGCAATGTACAAGGTTCCAGTTGCTCCACATCCTTGACAATACCTGTTATTTTCTTTCATTATGATTGTTATCATCATAATCTGTCATCATAGCTATCCAAGGGTGTGTCAAGTGGTACATCACTGTGGTTTTTAATTTGCATTTCCCTAATGACTAATGACATTGAATATCCAGATTTTTTTTATTCCTAAATATTTTAGCACGTGCCACTAGAAGATGAGCTTCATTTTGTAGAACACATTATTCATCATAGTTATGTCGCTGGCATCTCTACAACTACTCTCCCCCATGGCATCTCCTCCAGTACCTCAGCATCCATCTTCAGTTGTGGAATACAGTTAAGACACTCCATCCTGGAAAGGACTATGGTATCCTGACGGGTTTTGGAAGCTGGTTTCTTTCTCCGCAGGCAGGTGCACCTCGGTAAAGATCCCATGTCCTTTAAATTAAGAAAAGACATTATTGAGGAGCGGCAAAGAGTAAACAACAAATACAAGGTCAGAATTACCACTAATTTGATAACATTTATTTCTGTAAATATTTTGAATTCCTGTTGTATGCAAGGTGCTGTATCAGGAGAAAAAAAACTTATAGTTAAGTCAGGAGGGGAGACTACTGACGCATCCATGGTTAACCATAAGTCAGCTCTGGCTATGAATGTCACAGGGGGCCTCTGGGAAGTATTGTGGGGATTCAGGAGGCAGAGGGAGAGAGAAGTCATGGAATTGGAAAGCTCCCTAGTATGATATAATTTTGAAGAATTGTAAAGAGGGCAGAGGTGGGGAATAGCTCACGTTCAGGTGGGAATTCTGCACCTGTCCCGTGATCTGCAGAGCATGAAGGTAGGAGAGACCCATAGACAGTGGGCAGGAGCCAAGCCAGAGCCACATCCAAACTAAAGTCCCAAATCAGAGACACTCAGAGAGGCTGAGCGGAGAGGGGGTATCTGGTCAAGGGGAGAGGCCACACCTGGGTCACCAAGGCAGGACATGTAGGTTCAAGGGAGGAAGAGAGTAGAGATGGGAACTGTGGGACTTTGCCACACCCGAGGGCTCACAGTGGTGAGAGAGACATCATTACGTGCAGGGCAGATGCAGAGAGCGCCAGGGGCAGGGCCATCGTGGCTGAAACTCAGGATGCTCGTGGGAGTGAGGAGACAGTCTCAGCTCGGGCTTCATGTTACATGGGTTTGGACTTAATGGGCAGGACTTCTGGAATCATAACACTTTGTATCAATTTGCCATGAAGAAGTAACCCTAGACTGGGTGGTGTAACAATAGAAATTAATTTCCTCACAGTTGGAAGGTGGACATCCAAGATGTGTTGTCAGGGCTGGTTCCTTCTGAGGGACATGAGGGAAGGATCTGTTATCTTCTTGGCTCATCGATGACCATCTTTCCCCTGTACCTTCACACTGTCTTCCTCCTGTGTCCAAATTTCCCCTTCTTGTTGGGGTACCAGTCACACTGGATTAGGGCCCACCCTAATCACCTCATTTCAACTTGGTTACCTCTTTAAAGAAAGTATCTCCAAATTGGCACACCTGAGGTACTAGGAATTAGGATTTCAATGCATGCATTTTGGAGGGACACGTTCAGCCATAACACATGTATCTGAGTTTGGGAGCATGAGCTCCCCACTCAGTGCTGCATACAGCGGCAGTAGTGGGGAGGTGGGGTTGGGAAAAACATGTATCTTGTCAGATAATGAATATATTACTCATATAGAATACATTTGTTCCCTAGATTTGGAGTCCAAATCAGATATTTGAATAAAGTCATCTTTTTGTTTTCATAAGACAAACAAAAGAATGTAAAATCATTACATTGGTATGTCAGAAAGGCACATATTGGATGGGCAATTCAATTTACTTTGGGGGGAGGGTACAGCTCAGTGGTTGAGCACGTGCTTAGCATGCATGAGGTCCTGGGTTCAATCCCCAGCACCTCCATTTTCATTAATTAATTAATTAGTTAATTAACCTAATTACCTCCCCCTCAAAAATAAATAAATTTAGTTTCTATGTTGTTTGGATTCTTTGCATGTGATTTAAAAAAAACTTTTTGGAAAGAGAGATAATTAGGTTTATTTATTTATTTGTTATTTTTATTTTAACAGAGGTTCTGGGGCTTGAACCCAGGACTACATGTACACTAGGCACACACTCTACTACTGAGCTATACCCACCCCCTCAACGCTGCATGTGATTTTAAAAGCAAAATAACAAGTGATTTCTGTCAACCCCACAATGGAATATTTGCCAACTATTTTCAAGACTAAGGTGATAAAAATATGGCAAGACCACGTTCATGTGAAAGTTAAGGCTGGAATTGGAGTACCTGGTCAACAGGCAAACCATACCGTTTATGCTTTTGGCAGGTGCATTAATGAATGCCTGTGTATGTGAGATTCTGTGCCGGGGGCAAGCCACAGTGCCCGCCCTCAAGAAGGTGACAGAAGGGGCCCAGAAACATTAAGAGATGATTTCCAATGTGCTGAGAGCAGTGGTAGAGCCAGGACTTGTAGATAAATTGGAAATGAGGGCGAGGAAAAGGATGAGATAGAGTGACTCCTAGGTTTCCAACTTGGATGTTTGTTGGTGGTTTTAAATGAGATCCCAAATACTGAAGAGAAGTGGTCTCAGGACGTATAACATCTGGGGTGACTGGGGGGCATTCAGGTGGCGGCTGAAGGAACAAATCTGAGCTGGAGTCAGAGGCTGGGTGTGATCAGTGCAGAGACCACGGGACAAGTGTGATGACCTGGGGAGAGAGAGGAGCATCAAAAGGGCAGGAACTCAAGGCAGGAACCTTGGAGAACTTCCTGATTTAAAGGGAGAGAAGTGGGATGATGAAAGGACAGAGGAGAGGTGGTCTGGGTGGTGAGGAGACTCAGAGAACACAGAGAAAGCAGAGGGAGGGATCAGCCAAGTGCAGAGGGTTCTAGGATGACGGAGCCTGGAAAGTCCATGTCGGATTTGGTGACCTGGGGGTCCTCATCTACCTCAGTGACAGCAATTCCAGTGGACTAGAGGAGGTAAAAAGCCAAATCGTATTGTCTCGAGGAACGTGTGAGAGTGAGTACATGGCTTCTTGAGTGTGAAGAGTAATGGCGTGGACTGTTCAAGGGGATGAGGCTTCTAGGAAGGGGTTTTTGAGTTGGAAGAACTTGAGCATGTTTGTAGGCTGAGGGCACAGAGGGATCCCCGAGGAGAAGGTTGAAGAAGCTTGTGAAGAGGCCAGGGTCGGAGGTAAAGATTGTCTTTGAACAGGAGGAAGGGCTGCAGGGGTTGAGGCGGGGGAGGGTGTCAGGCTGGCAGAGAGGGCCATTGAAGGATGCCCATGGCCATGTCTTCCCCGATGACCCAGGACGCGGGCCGGCCGTAGAGACTGCGGTGCCCAGGGACTGGAGGGAGGCCGTGGGGAGTGATGAGCATTTGCACAAGTGACTGAGGGGCGCAGGAAAGAAGCAGTCCCGTCCTTCATGTCATCACCCGGACCCTGAGTTCCCAGGGTAGTTGGAGAGCAAGCATGGCAGGGCCCCTGTTCTGTATGACCGGAAGATTTCATCTGGCAGCTGAATCCTGGCAAGTGACCCCGTAGCCAGGAACACGTGGAGACCCGGGGCAAATGGCAGGAAGCAGAGAAAAAGAGTGCGGCGGGGATGCAGAGTGAGTCGGCGTTAGAGCGGGTCTGTCTCGGGGGTGATGAGCTTTCACTCAGGAGGGATGGTCAATAATACTAAGTTCTGGAATGTTCATCATAAAGAAGTGAGTCCTCATAAAGACATAAGAAATCTCCCTGCTCTTTCTTCTAGCTAACAACCCATTTGCCAATCTTTTCTTTCAACTGCCTGTATTTTACTTTATTTTCAGTGGTGCTGGAGGTCTGGGTCTCTCCATAAAGTCTGTATTTTGAACCAAAGGTTCACAATCTTAAACTCTGCCTCCTGATGTGTGCCAATCAGAGCTGGGTGGTTCAGCGCCCTGGTGACAATACATGTCTCCTATTTCTGAATAGGGTGTTAATCTGGTGATCAGAATAGATTTCTTCCAGTTGAGTCTTTAGAAATAATTGTGAACAGGGCATGGAAGAGCGAAACTAGTTTCAGAAGTTACCTAACAGGCAAATAATAAAAGCCACAGATAGGCAAAACCTAACACGTTTTGCAGTGTGCACGGTCCTTTTTTCCATAGAGGCAGGCTTGTGTGGACGCTGATCCAAGCCCAGCCAGCCTTCTTAGGAGTGACCCGGGAGTATCCAGTGGCTCCTGGGGAATAGGAAGGATTGTTCAGGGACCACGGGGAAGCAGGCAGTGGAGGAAGGGGAGCAGCCAGGGGACACTTCAAGGAAGGGACAGACTCTGTCAGCCTCCACCACCCAGGAAAAGGGAGGGATCAAGTGCCTTTGTTAAAACGTGATACTTGGATAATCAGCTCTGAGGGGCTCAAAACTTCACTGGGTCATTTGTTTCTGTTTTTTAATTTTGGAGGGTTTTAAAACATTTATTTTTTATTTTTTGAAGAGTGAGTTTACTTAGGGTTTTAGGGGGAGGGGAGATAATTAGGTTTATTTATATATTTATTTGGAGGAGGTACTGGTGATTGAACCCAGGACTTCGTGCATGCTAAGCATGTGCTCTACCACATGAGCTATACCTTCCACCCTAATTTTTTTTAATGAAATCTCTATACGCTCATGTTTACATGGCTTCCTAAAATCGTTTCTGTGAATTATCAATGCCTCAGAAATAATTTCCAGAGACTATCCTTTGATTATAAAAAGAAGGTATTGGATTCGTGCTTCTGAAAAAACTTCCTTCTTCTATAAAAAACATGTTTGAACAGTAAGTGTAATTACAATGGTCATTTTAACCACTCTCCCAATGGGAACCTCATAGGTAGATTTGACTAAATGCTTAATGGGTTTCTATCTGTTTTAAAGAGAAATAAAACTCGTGCATTTGTATTCAATTTTAACATTTCTGATGATTGAAAACCCCAGCTAGATAGAGGAGATCCTGTTTTGGATGAGGAATTTCAGCGATTCAAGACAGAAGTTAACTCCAAACGAGTTGTTCGAGACCTAGAAGAAGTGAGTAACTTTCCTGTGTTTGGAACCTAATGATCGGTAGCTCTTTATATGCTTATCTTTAAAGTGCTAAACAATTTTATGGAAATCCTTTTACCGAGAGATCTTTGATAATTTTTAATACGCTTACATTGTCAGAATTTTTTTTCCACTACATACCCACAAGTAAAGCATCAACTTGTAATTAATGTTTGTTTCCTTTGAAATTAACAACATCATATATTTTGGTTCCTCCTTTCCACACTCCTACTTTCTCCTCTTGGTCTCTTTTTTTTGCTTCCCTTTGCTCTCCGTGCCTCTATCCACAGGTCCTCGGGGTGCCCCCCCTCTTCCCCTTAGTGGAATGGATACAAGACAGCAAGTCAGAAGCCAGAGTTCTGGTCCCAGCTCTACCACAGATATGGGGCCTGGGGAAAGCCCTCTTAGCCTCGGGGCCAGTGTCCTCATATGTAAAATGGGGACAACGGACCCGCCACCCGAGTTTCCTCTGTCATGTGATGGTTTCTGGTTAAGACCCCAATTTTTAATTTTAACAACAAAAAAATTCATCCTAATTTCCTCACCTCCTCATTCTCACTATTCTTGGTTTGCCACATCTGAATTTTTTTTTCCCTTTTTTCTTCTCCTCCACATTTAATCTGGCCACAAAGTCTTGCCAGTAGCTCTTCCACAAGGCCTTACCAAAGTCCAGCCTTCATGTCTCACCGTCTCCTAATCTAACAGGTTGATGGTTTGTAGATCTGCCCTCCTGCATCTCCTCAGCGGCCCGCTGCATGTGCCAAGGCGAGACTAATTTGTTTCCCATGACTTTTCTTCTTCTTGTTTCCCTGTTCAAGAACCTGCATTGCCTGAGGCTCTGGCTGCCTCACAACACCCCCAGGCACCCTTTCCTTCGCATTTACTGATCCACGCACACTTGTACCCACGATGCGCAGACACCGTGCTGGCGCTTGGTGGGCAGGGCTGAGCACGTCAGTCCTCCTTCATCAGCATCACACAGCCTGCACCTCCCAGTTCCGTAGGCAGTGCCAGCACCCAGCACATGGTGCTGACTTCGGTGTGACTTTATTTTTCCTCCTCAGGCTCGCCTGTGTTTGCTTGACTTTTTCTGTCTAGACTGTAAATTTTGTAAAACCCAAATCCTGTCTTTCACTTTTGGTCCCTAACCCAAGAACTAGTCCCTTTGAGGGTGTGTACACTAAAAGTGCTTAATAAATGTTCATTAAACGGAAGAGCAAATAATAACCTGACTTGAGATCAGACTCTGAAACATTTTTATTAAATGCTTATGCCCGGAGTTAAACTTTAAACCTAAGATATGCTTATATTTTATGTTCGCAGAAAACCAGGGAATTTCATCCTAATTTTGATCCACTCATTAATAATACTTGGGTCAACAGGTTCAGGGCGCTAAGACGGTTTCAACAAGCAGCACGCAAGGTAAGTCTCAGCACTAGACTGGAATTTTAATTTGTTTAGTTATCAGCACAAGGAAATTGAACGATGAGCTTTTTTTAATAACAGTTTTCTTTGAGGTGTAATTCACAGGCCATAATATTCACTCTTGTAACGTGTATAATTCAGTAGTTGTCAATATATTCCCAGAGTTGTACCACCATCACCATTATTTTAAAACATTTTTTCTTTTTTTTTTTTTTGTGGGGAGGAGGTAATTAGGTTTATTTATTTATTTTTAGAGGAGGTACCTGGGATTGAACCCAGGACCTTGTGCATGCTAAGCACATGCTCTACCACTTAAGCTATACCCTCCCCTCTTAGGACATTTTTATCACCACGTGAAGAAACCTAGTTCCCATTAGTAACTCCATCCCCCAGTCCCTGACAACCACTCATCTATTTTCTGTCTCTATGGATTTGCCTTTCCTGAACATTTCATGCACATAGACTCATACAACACACACATAGCCTTCTGTAACTGGCTTCTTTTACTTTACATGTTTTCAGTGTTCATCCATAATGTAGCTTATTTCAGTACTTCGCTCCTTTTTAAGGATGAATGCTATTCCATTGTATGGATATACCGCACTTTATCTCGTCATCAGTTGAAACATTTAGGCTGTTCTCACTTTTTGGCTAAAATGACGGGAATAATGATGCTACAAACATTTATGTACACGTTTGTGGACATATGTGTACAATTCTCTTGGGCACGTATACCTAGGGGTAGAATTGCTGGGTCACGTGCTAACTCTAAAATGAAAGGGTGCTGGTCAGCTGTTTCTAGAGGGAACAATGGAGCATTCCTGGGGGATCGTGTGTCTAACATCCAGGCTTATGGCTTCATGTTCACGGATCTTCCACCCAGCAGCTTCCTAAGGTCAATAAAGGGTGTAAGGAGATCCCTGGTCTGGCTATGACCACACCTCTCCAGCTGCCCCCCACTGCCCCGCCATCCTCTATGTTGTCCCAGTTTTCATCTTCTGAAAACACTGGCTCGTTCCCTGCTCCTCACCGTCACCTGAAATGCCATTGCATCTCACCTCCATCTGTCCAAACCTGTCCTTTGGCCAGTTCAAGGCTACCTCTCCTCCAAGAAGCAGTCCTGTAAATTTTAGCACTGAGCGCTCTCCACGGTGCCTCTTGCATCTTATGCTGCCTGAAGATCTCTTGTCCCTGCCGCTGGAGTAAAGCTGCCTTGAGGGGCAGAACCACCTCTCAAGCAGGGAGAGCAGAGGATAATACTTGGGCTCAGAAGCCAGGCTGCTTGCCCTGAACTCCTGGTGCAACTTCTCGTGAGTTTTCTGATCTTGGACAAGTTATATAACCTCTGGGCCTTAGTTTCTTCATCTGGCACTGAGGATAACAATTAGACCTATCTCAAAGTGTTGCTGTGAAGATTAAGTGAGTCGATGCGTATAAGAGACTACAAAAGTTTATGTATGGGCTGTGTTTCAAGGAGTGCTTCCCGCTTGACCTGATGACAGTCTGGGTGGAGACAGACAGAGCTTGATGCATCCGTGATCTACTCATCAACCTCCAAGGCCCTGTAAACCCATGTCCCTGCTGGGGCTTTGTCTGGTGGGCTCTGTGCAGGTGCAGCACAGAGGTGGCCACAAGATGCTTGCTGTGGGGAACTGGTGGAGAGAGGCAGCACAAAGCTGTGCTCTGAGGGAAGACAGTGGGCAAAACACAGCAAGACACTGGCTAGACAGGCTTCCCACTAGTGGGACCTCCCCAGCCGTTTGTCAGCAGTTATGTGTTTGGCTGTGAATGGTGGCTCCGTCTTTTCCTCACGCTCTCCGGGAAGTATTGTCAGTTAGATGCACAAATGTGCCCTGAGCCTATGGCCCCTGCTGTCTCCGCAGCTCGGTCACAGCCCCATGGTCTCTCGCCTGAACCACTGCCACTGACTTCCCTGCTTCCGGTCCCCACACAGCAGCCAGAGCAGTATTCCCAAAGCTTAGCGATGGTAACACCTCTCCCCTGGTGAAACTCTCCAAAGGCTTCCCACTGCAATTTGAATACAACGCACAATTTTTACCAAGGCAACAAGGCTGTCCTGGATCTCTCTCTGTCCTTGAAACATGTCTCCTTTGTTCCCGATTCAAGATCTTTGTACCTGCTGGTTCCTCTGCTCCCAACTCTCTTTCCAAGGTTATTGTCTCCTCATCACTCGAGTCTCAGATCAAACCTGACCTCCTCCAAGAAGCCTTCCTTAAATCCTTGCAGAAGGGGCTAGACCACCCCCCTTCCCAGCCCCACAGTCCTGCCCTCGTGCATTTACTCTTTTTCTTCAGATTTCTCTGTGGTGTCTATCTTGTTTATTCGCTTAAGTGTTTACTCTTATCCCTCTCCACACACCCACTCCCTGCCATACACACACATGCCAATCCTATACATTCCCCTATTGTAACCTGCCAGTACCATGAATGCATCTCCAGAGACCAGCAGTTGTCCAACCAGTGAAAAATACACAAGATTTAATCAGAGGATCCGGGTTCAAACCTAGTTCATCACCTTCCCAGACTGGCAAGTCATTAAAACTTTTTGAGACTCAGTCTTCTTATGTGTAAAACAGAGATGACAGTTCCTTACGGACCACTGTGAAGATGAAAATGACTGTCAAATAAGACTGTCAAAAGAGAAGTGTTCAAAAACCAAGATGCTAGAATTCTTAAGAGGAAAAACGCAAAGTGGATATAAATGCTAAGTAAATGGCAGTAAATAAATGCTAAATTTATAAATGAAAATGTTTTCAAAATATAAAATATAAAAAAAGTGGGGACATAACACACACGCACACACACACACACACACACGGAACGTCAGCTCCACGCAGGCAGGACATTTATTTGCTTCCCACTGTATCTATAGTACCTTGAACAGAACTGTCCACAGAGACTCAATCATACTTGTTAAATAAAAGAGACCGTCACAGGTTGGGAAGGAGCGTTAATCGTGGAATGAACAGGCCCCCTATCACAGCTGTGTTCGCAGCAACATCTGCTCTGAATGCCAAGCCCAGGAGTGTGCAGTCAGCACCGCCCTCATCCACAGCCCAGTTTCCACCGAATCGTCCATTTAGTTTGTTCTTTGACTCTGAAATTGACACGGTGGGAGCCTGGCTACTCAGATACACCGAAAAGAAAGAATGCAGAACTAGTCACTGGTTCCACTCTGGAAATATGAGAACACTGGGGCTCGTAAATTGGGTGGGACAAGGCCAGATAACAACCTGGTCGTTTTTTGTATTCAGGCCAGTCAACAGTGCCCAGACCTTGAAGTCCCCACGGCCTCGGCCCAGGGCAGATGCCCCTCTCCCTGTGAATTCTGATTGAAGTGGTGGTCTCAGCCTTTGGTTGTGGTTGGGGAAAGTGAGCTAAATTGAAAGTCAAAATAAGCCTGCACCGATTAATCACTTGAAAACATTATTTTTTCTAATTCCAGGTTATGGTACATCGACGCTTACTTAGGATGCTGAGTGCCATTCGCAACATGAAAAAAGATGCTATCATAAGAAAGTTCACTCAAGGAAGACAGTCCATAGCATCAGGTAAGGCAGGGCTGTGAGGAACAGCAGCGCTTCACCCGTGTGTCCCCTGAGTGTGAGACTTCTTCGTCCTGAAGTTACCTGTTAGAAATAAACGTTTTCATAAATCACATACATTAGCGTTTTTTCAAATTGAAGTATAGTCAGTTACATGTGTCAGTTTCTGGTGTACAGCATAATGTTTCAGTCATGTATGTACATATATTCTTTTTCATTATAGGTTACTACAAGATATTGAACATTTTTTCACTGCACTATACAGTATAAACTTATTGTTTACCTATTTTATATACAGTAGTTAGCATCTGCAAATCTCAAACTCCCATTTTATCCCTTCCTAACCCCTTTCCCCCCAGTAACCTTCAGTTTGTTTTCTATGTCTGTGAGTCTGTTTCTGTTTTGTAAATAAGTTTATTTGTGTCTTTTTTTTTTTTAGATTCCACATATAAGTGATATCGTATGGTATTTTTCTTCCTCTTTCTGGCTTACTTCACTTAGAATGACATCTCCAGGTCCATCTATGTTGCTGCAAATGGCATTATTTTATTATTTTTTAAGACTGAATAGTATTCCATTGTATAAATATACCACAGCTTCTTTATCCAGTCATCTGTCGATGGTCATTTAGGTTGTTTCCACATCTTGGCTGTTGTAAATAGTGCTGCTGTGAACACTGGGGTGCATGCATCTTTTTGAATTAAGGTTCCCTCCAAATATATGCCAGGAGTGGGATTGCTGGATCATTTGGTAAATCTATTTTTAGTCTTTTGAGGAATCTCCATATTGTTTTCCATAATAGCTGCACCAAACTGAATTCCCACCAACAGTGTAGGAGGGTTTCCTTTTCTCCACAGCCTCTCCAGCTTTTATCATTTGTGAACTTTTGAATGATGGCCATTCTGACTGGTATGAGGTGATCATTGTAGTTTTGATTTGCATTTCTCTGATAATTAGCAACATTGAGCATTTTTTCATTTGCCTACTGGCTATTCATATGTCTTCATTGGAGAATTGTTTGTGTAGGTCTTCTGCTCACTTTTGGATTGGGTTGTTTGTTTTTCTGTTATTGAGTTGTATGAGCTGTTTATATATTCTGGAGATTAAGCCCTTGTTAGTCGCATCATTTGCAGATATTTTCTCCCACTCCGTAGGTTGTCTTTTTGTTTTGCTTATGGTTTCCTTTGTAGTTTTTTTTTTAATATAACAAATCACAACAAATTTAGTGGTTTAAAAATAACACAAATTCATTATCTTACAGTTCTGGAGGTCAGAAGTGTAGAATCAAGGTGTCACAGGTCTGGTTCCCTCTGGAGGCTCCAGGAGGAAGCCTGTTCTGGACATTTTCCAGCTGCCAGAGGCTGCTTGCACTTCTTGGCTCATGGCCCCTTCCTCTCAGCACCCTGACCTCTTGCTTGGGTTGTCACATCTTCTCTGACTCTGACCCTCCTGCTTCCCTCTTACATGGATCGTGTGATGACACTGGGCCCACATGGATTACCCAGGACCATCTCCCCATCTCAGGATCCTTTACTTACATTTGCAAAGCCCCATTTATCAAGCAAGGTGATGTAGTCACAGGTTCCGGGCAATAGAATGCGGACGTCTTTGGAGAGCCATTATGCAACCTACCACCTGACATAAATCAGACCTCCATAGCAGGTGTGGCTGAAATCCCTGCCCAAGCAATAGTAAGTAAGACCCACCACCCGACCAGGTTGTAACATCCATGAAGTTTGGTTGTGACTTCCTGTTTCGTGCCATCTGTTCTCTCCTGTCACCAGAGAGACCAGGACAGTTGTCATTTATACCTGTTGATTGTCTGGCTGCATCTGGTCATGTCTCGAGTGTTTGTACATAAAGCTTTCTATCTCGTATCATCTTCACTAAAGAAATTCCAATCCTCTGATGCCCCGGTTGGCCGGTCTGTTGGAAGCCTACTCTCAGTAGCTTCTGGGAGCCCCAAAGCCACATCACCATCTTCTGCATCTGTGGTTTGTGTGCAGACCCACAGGAGGTCCTGTCCTTCCAAGCCCTCCTCCCCTCCCTAGCTGACGGCCCTGGGGCCTGGCTCTGGTTCCCCATCCTCCCCAGGCAGCAGCTACACTCCTCCTCTTCCTCTCCTTCAAGATCCAGATGGGTATTTATTTTTCACAACATTTTATCACATTTTAATTATTCTATTTTCCTTCCATATTATTTTTATCTCTGGTAGTAAAGTTTCTAATGAAGAAACTTTTTTTAACTATGGGTTTTTTTTAAGCTTTAAAAACAATTTTTTTAAACACTTTTTTTGGTCGAGGAGGTAATTAGGTTTATTTATTTATTTACTTTAATGGAGGTGCTGGGGATAGAACCCAGGACCTTGTGCATGCTAAGCACACACTCTACCACTGAGCTATACCCTCCTCCCAAGAAACTCTTTAAAAAAAAAATTGTAAAATTAACGTGTGAGTTACATTTGGACACCTGTAAAATGTCTTCATATGCTTCTTTAATTGAATCCTTTTCTTCACTGAGAAGGACAAAAAATATTCATCAGAGATACATAATTAGGAAGCGCAGTTTTTTGGGAAGGAAAAATAAATTTTTTTAAATTGGAGAAGATCTTGAGGTAAAGAACAAAGGAGAAACTGAAACCGAGACTATACACATACATACCTATAGGTTTGGGAGTTTGTTTTTTTTTTAATGGAGGTACTGGGGCTTGAACCCAGGACCTTGTGCACGCTAAGCCTGTGCTCTGCCACTGAGCTGTACCCTCTTCACCTAGATTCTTTTTGAACTAGTGTGTGGCAAACACATAACTAAAGATGGTAGTTTCACAAAAATACCTTAAGAACTCCCCAAAAGTGCTGTTTTGTTTTTTCACCCGCAGAGAAGGATTCCTCCCAGTACCTTCACCCGTGGGTCAGTCAGGATGACTATGCCAGCCGGTTCTCTGTGTCGCCCAAGGAAGTTCTGCCCTTCGCCTTCCCATCCTACAGCTCCCCTCAGGGCTCCAGCGAGCTGGTGGGTGCCTGGTGGGTGCCGCTGGGCTGTGGGGTGGGGCCAGGCATGAGCAGGTGGTTGTCAGACAGGTACCCGGGTGAGACCCACCTCAGTCTCTGGCCCTTTGCGTCCTCCTGGGAGGCTCCCAAGGGAGATCCGTGCCCAGGTTATGGGGACAAATATGACATGCTGCCCCCTGCCTGGCACCTGGGACACCTGTGCTCAGCTGGCTCATAGCCTGGCCCAGTGCCTGCCCAGCCTAGACCCCAGCGAGACCACTGAGCCCCGCCGGACTGCGGGAACAGGGCCTGAGAACTAAGGGGCAGATGGAGAAACCGAGAGAGCCTGGCCTGGCCCAGGGAGGCAGGAGCTCAGCCCAGCCCTTCTGCTGCTCGGGAAACCGAGGGGCCAGCAAAGGGCAGCCCTGGAATCTGCCAGTCTAACCCAACAAACTCACAAGTCCACCTCTCCCCTCTCTCCCTCCCTCTTGGTGGCCAGAAGTGTGATAGTTCATCAAATGATGCGTTATCATAATAAAAGCTGCAGCTAACACTTTCACTGCATTTTTCATGAGTCAGGCAGGTTCTTAAGTGCTTCAGTTGTATCAGTTCATTTAACCTTTTTTTTCAAAATTCTTTTCTTTGTTTAATTGAAATATAGTCAGTTTCAATGTGTCAATTTCTGGTGTACAGCATAATGTTTCAGTCATACATGAACGTACATATATTCCTTTTCATATTCTTTTTCATCATAGGTTACCACAAGATACTGAATATAGTTCCCTGTGCAGTACAGTAGAAACTTGCTGTTTATCTATTTTATATATAGTAGTATCTGCAAATCTCAAATTCCCAAGTTCATTTAATCTTCAACAAATCTACATGATAGGTTTATCATCTCACAGATGAGAAGGAAACTGAGACACAAGGTCACGTAGCCAGTAATAAAATGTCGCTCAAGTTCCCCAAGTTCACATCGTTAGGAATAAGAAGTGTGTTTAAATTGATATTGGAAGTGCGCGTGCAAAATACTTGTTTAGTTTCAGAGAATGAACTTGCTGGTCATGTCTCGTGAAATGTGTTAAGCATGGCTGGTTAATCTACTCAAGATTTACAGGACTGACTTGAAATTCCATGTGTTTCTGCATTTGATAATTTAATGACTTAAGAGATCAGATTATTTCACTCCTAGGGCATAATAAATTTGTGATTTTCTCTTTTTTTTAAGTTTTTGGTTTTTGGAGGGGGAAGGTAGTTCAATTTATTTATTTATTTCATTTATTTTTTAAATGTAGGTGCCGGGGATTGAACCTAGGACCTCATGTATGCTAAGCATGGACTCTACCACTGAGCTATGCTCACCCCTCCAAATCTGTGATTTTCAAGCAGTAAGAATTGCCTGACACTCAATAATTAATGGGTGGAAAGAGTGGTAGGGATGAAAAGAGATCTTCACTGTGCTGTGCAGGCCATCTTTTTTTTTCTTTTTTAAATAATTCAAAGTTTGTGCATTTCATTTGGTACTTTAGTTAGTTCTACAAAGACTTCTCTGCTGCTCAGGGTTGATGAAAAATAGAATGCTCAGCATTCCTGTCCATAAAGAATTTTGTAATTCATCCTATAAATACTGTATTTCATCTATCCTAAGGTCACTTTTTTTAAAATATAGTATCTTTGAAATTGAGAAATGTCTTATAATTGATGGCATATTTGCACTGCATCATATCAGTGTAATGATGGTGTCTTAGATTTGGTGAAGTGTAGTATTTCTTGAGTGCCCATAATATGTCAGGCACTGTTCCAGGTTCTGTGAGTGATAAGGCAGACCAGCATGTATGAAATTTATTAGGTAGTGCTTTTGGGATTTTAGCATCTGTGGAAGGGAAGCAGCGGGATCAAGAAGGGACAGAGGGAGAATAAGATTGCAATCCTTTGACAAAGGCCTCAGCTGAACTCAAGAGGAGCTCTGAAGCCGGGACTGGGTGAGAGGACCCGCATCTGTACCTTTGCTTCAACCTCAAGGAGGTGGCTGCCCGGGGAGGGGCACTTGATCTTCAGTGAGGCCTCCTCCTTCCTTCACGGAGGCCACTCCTGAAAGGGCTGAGCCCTGAGAGTTGTTTCTGTCGACAGGACTCCTACCAGCTGGGGGACGAAATCCTCACTCAGAAACTAGAGCCGTTCACTGAATGTTCCCAGTTGTGTAGAAATAAAAGCATAGCTGTTTTTGCTCAGCGCTGATCGTGTCATTTGTTTGGAATTTTCACATTTTAGGCTCCTGATGGCCTTGGACCAGTCCCGATAAAATCTTCAGAAATTCAAATCAAACAGGCCTTTTCGTTCCTCGATCTGCAGGTCAGAACTGTCCTACGGTTCCATTAATCAGGTTTCTTATGAAGTGAACAATGTATTCTTGAATTCGAGCCTCTCTGTTTTGTCGTTTCTGTTCTACTCCGGATTATACCGCAAGGCACACTGTGTGTCTCTTCTGCTGTTATTATATGCGACATGCGAGGTATAACAGATTCTTTTTTCCCAATGTGGCTTATGGAAGCCAGAATCTTAATTCTGTGGATAGAGCATGTGTACCTGAAGTGATCTGAAGTGCAGATGTTAGAAACTTGAAGAAAAAAGGAAAGTGAATGAAAGTGAGTCAGCCTTTCTTGAGGTGTATGACAATCTGCTGTTGAAAATATGTATATTTGATTTATCTTATTTTATTTTTATTGGGGGGAGGGTAATTAGGTTTATTTTTTAAATGAAGGTGCTAGGGATTGAACCCAGGACCTTGTGCATGCTAGGCACGCTCTCTACCACTGAGCTGCACTCTCCCCCTGAAAATGTGCATATTTTAAATCAGCAAACCAGTGATCAGTGTATTTCTAGAGTTAAGCCTTAAGATAGGGGTGGGTGACTGTGAGTGTTGCTGGATGCTGGGACCCAGGACAAGGTTCGGGACTGCTCTGAGGCCTCTTCAAGGCTAGTCCAAAGCAACCCGAGCCATAACCTGGTAGTTAAACACGGTGCTAGTTTTCCTTTTACTCTCAGGAAGCTGGCAAATACCTCTCAAGGGCTTTGAGTCCATTGTCTTCTCTCACCTCCAGGTCCCTCAACTGTACAAGATTAAGAAGTACCAGCCCATCTCTGTCCAGAAGTGCTCAGCGAGCTACCGACCTCAAAAACTTGCTCGAGCCCTGAAGCAAGGAGCTGAGGTAACAGGTCCCCACCTCCGAAAACCGCTCCCACCTTCCCGCTGCCCTGGCGTCGGAACTAACGTGTTGCTCTTGGTCCTCGCGCAGGATGAAGCCACAACCGTCATAGCCCTGCCCAAGCAGGACGCCGTGCCCCAGCTCCCCGGGGAGACCTCAGTCTTGAGTGTGAAACTACCCGAGGCCTTGGCCAGGGCTCCAGATTATGACCCGCTTTATATTTTTGTAAGTGACCATTGGCGGAAGTCACTGTTCCACGTTCCTTTATTTCAGCAGTTGCTTCATGAGAAAACAGAAGCGCTTAAAGAAAACAAACTTATGGTTACCAAAGAGGAAAGGGAGAGGGGAGCGGTGAATTAGGAATATGAAATTAACAGATGCATGCTGCTATACATAAAATAGATAAACGACAGGGATGTCTGTACAGCACAGGGAACTATATTCACTGTCTTGTAATAACTTATAATGGAAAAGAATCTGGAAAAAAACATATATGTAACTGAATCACTTGGAGGTACACCTGAAACTAATGCAATATTGTAAATCAACTATACTTCACTTTTTCAAAAAGATATAAAAAAAAGAAGACAGAAGCACCAATTGGGAATATTTTTCTCTTTTTGGAATTTCAAGAGTTAAACAACCTCTCACCTTTGAAATTGCGTGCCAGCCTTTATTGTGTGGAGAATGTGTTTCTGTCGTTTAACAACTCCAGCATGCATTTTTGTGACAATAGCTCTATGATCTTTTCTAATTATCTATAATATGCACATGTATATGTATATACTTTTGTATTTATTGAAGTATATTTGCTGTACAATATTATATAAATTACAGGTGTGCAATATAGTGATTCACAATTTTTAAAGGTTATATATACATATATATTTTTTAAAAAGAAAGCACAACAGGGAAAAAAGAGGAAAGTCTCCCCAAATGCCATCACTCGACACCTCGTTGATTCCTGATTCGGTCCCTGGGCGCCGCGCCCCCGCCGCACTGCCGCCTCTGTCTCCCTGGTGTCTGGTTCTGCTTGTTCCTGTAGCCGCGCTTGCACGCCCTCCCCACCCCCTGCCCACTCCACGTGCGGCACGGACTCCCCGCTTCCTACCAAATGAAGTCCAAGCCCGGGGCTCCGTGAGGCCCAGCCCCGTCGTCCCCTGCTCCCCTGCACATGTCCCCGCCAGACTGTGGGCTTCCTCCTGTCCCCATGTCCTTGCTTAGCTGATCTGACCTGTTTCTAGGTCCCCAAATCCTTAGTAACTGAAAGCCCAACAGGAAGTCTGACGAGGGTGTCTATGAAAATGGAATCATCGGTGAAATGTCGCAGCAGTTGCCCTAGTTATGGGCTGTTTTTTAAGGGACAAACACGTGCACACACAGAGAATGAGAAAGGACCTTAGACGCTGCCTGGAAAAGTCTCCTTTGTGGGAATCACCACGTGGGAATCTGTATCTCTAATGCGGCAGAAATGCTGGTGGTCACACCCAAGAACTGAGACGGATGTCTGTGTGTTTCCTGACTGTTGGCCTGGTACAGAGAGAGCTGCGATCTTTGTGTCTTGGCCATTAGGGGGCATGTTCTTATAGTCTCATTGGTTAAGGGGGCTGTTCCTCAGAGACTTAGAATCTTAGAGCTGAGATAGCCTCACAGGACATTTAACTCAGTGATTTTCAGACTTCATTGAGCACCAGAACCCTCTCATCCGCTGAAATTTTACGTAGAAAGGCAATATGTAAAATAAAGTCCTCATTGCAGGGTTGGGAGTAGGGTAGGGGGCTCTGCTGAGGAGGGTGTCCCTGCCAAACCCTGGGGTTCCCCACAGCAAGGTTTGAAAAACACTCTTCAGTCTTATCTCCCAGACCCACCCACCGCCACCCCTCACCACTCTGAAAGTATATAACATATGTCCAGATGAAACATGTATCAACATATACCAAATTGTATACTTTTAATATGTGCAGTTCATTGTATCAATTATACATCAGTATAGCTATAAAAGAAAGAATTTTGAAACCCTAAGAAAAGAAACAAATAAAAGGAAGGAAATACTGGATGCAGTGAGTAAACATTATAGTGAAGTCTTGGGATGGTATCTGTGCATCGTCTGTAGGAATCAGGGTAAACGGCTCTGGGGAAGAGGTGTCCAGGGAAGTGTGGACTCCATGCACTAACAGTGCGGTTGAGAGGATGGAAACGGTCAAGGATTTTATAAAGGCACATCATTAAAGCAGAAGAAAAAGCCATTACAAACTCCAGGGAGGGAAATTAACTAAAAATCACTATGTGTTCCCAATAGGAAATCAAACTAAAGTTTGTCATGATTTTTCAGTTGATGGAAAAATTTTTAAAAATAGACCCCATCCAGCCTTGATACGAGAACCGTCCTCTGTCACTGACCCACAGGTCGTGATGTGAACCTTCACCAAAAAAACCATAATCCAAGCCTCAACTTGGCCAGGCAGAGAAAGATGTTTACACAGTTGAGACAAAAATCAATGCTATTTCCTAGTCTTTAACTTTCAGAGACAGCCTTATGAACAAAGCGTAAAGGTCTTGATTGTGGTTCTAGAAGGCTGATGGTAAGAATCTCAAAAATAGGAAAGTAAAATTGTGGAAGAGAGGAGGGAAGGTACAAGAAAAAAAAATAAGGATGAAATGTTTTCCTTTCACCTGAGAGGGAACTGAAATACTCAACTAAAGATGATAAAGCAAGAAACGGGCGTATCAGAACATCATTTCCAGCCACAAAGATAACCGACAGCAGAACTAAAAATAACAACATAATTTTCAAAATTGGACCAAGGTTTGAAAGGAACATTTGTGTACATGAGCCTTCCTGAGTTGAAAACATCACCAAAACAATGTTAAATGTTGACATTTCCTGATGTATCAAATTCCACCCTCTTCTCTGTCTTCCCTTTAAAGTAGTTTTTAAGAAGCTAATTTTGTTTTCAAAACCAGACGTTTGTTGGCTTTTTAAAAATCGGTTTGCTTATTTAATAAATCCCCCTAATTTATCAAACTTAGAAACAAATACTTGAAGCTGTTTAAGCTGTGGTTTCATTTATCCTTGTTTCCGTGGGAGCTTGGTAAATCCACGTGGCCTGTGATGAAGCTCTTAAAGCAGAAGAGTGACATTTATGAAAGACTGTGATCACTGCCAGTTTAAAGCCGCCTCTGCTCCTTCTCTTTCCCAGACGAGCTGACATGGGGTCAGAGTGTTAGTGCTGGCGGGAGCCATGGAGGACATTAGCTGATGCCTGTCCTCTGCCCAGCTAAGAAACTGGTACCCAGAAGAGAATCCTTTTTGCGCTCTCTCTCATGCAGAATCCCAGCCCAGGATTGTTTGCTGTGATGCACCCTATGACCTATGCGGAAACCTTGATAGATTACCACCTGTGCTCTCACCCCAAGTACAAGTTCACCAAGGAGTCCCACACTGGGTCCAGCATTCCTCTCACCCAGAAGCAGTTTCTCCATCACACGGTAAGGACATCACCCGCCTCACTGGCCTCACTGGCCCTGGGCTGCAGGGAAGGGCAGGGGAGAAGGATGGAGGGTCACAGCTGGAACTGAGAAAAGAAGGTTTGCAGCCAGAACTGCAGAACAAGAATGGTAACAGCGGTGGCTGCGTATCCTGAAGGGGCACAGGTTGGGGACTCAGCACCACTCCCGTCCTGCCCACACCCACCTCTCTGGCCTCAAGGTGCCCTTTTTTCAACATTCTTACTCTCTTTTTCCCTTGAAGGCCACACGTCATACTCATTTTACTCCCATTTCAACCATGTGAAAACAACCACATGATGGCCATAACCCTGTAGTCTGACCTCCTCTTTCTTTGGTCCCGAGTAAGTACAGAAACAGAGTGGACAAGGTGGTGATGTGATAAATGCACAGTTGGGAAGAGGCTCCCAGCATCCCTTCTCCCCTAGATCACCAGCCTGACCTGAACACCCATCCACATCTCTTGGGCGTTGCCCTCAGGCCCTTCAAACTCAATAAACCCGCAACTTAGTCATTATCTCTTCTTGCTTCCGCCAGCCACACCTCACACCTCTTCCTGCGTTCCCTGCTTGTCTTTTGATTCTGTGACTTGTGCGGTGACCCACGTGATCCTCGATCCTGTCCTCTCCCTCATTCCCCATGTCCAGCCATCCCTGACTCCCACCAGCCTACATCAAACGGCACGTTCCGCTCCCTCTCCTCCATCCCAGGGCCCCACCCTGGACCATCCACCCTCCCTAGAAATCTGCCTTCCATGCAAATCTGATCATGTGGTTTTCTGGTTTGAAAACCTTCTGTGGTCCCTGCTGCCCGTGGGAGCAGCTCCAAGCTCATGAGCTTGGCCCACAAGGCCCTCCTGACCAGCCCACCTCTCCAGCCTGCACTCAGCTGGGGTTTCCTGACAACACGCTTGCCCAGCATCTCCAAGTTTCCTCGAGCTTACCCCTGCCTGGAAGACCTTGTGATGAATGACCCAGCCTCTCTGAACGTTGCATTAGCATCACATCCACAGTAATCAAAACAGATCCAACAGTCAGATCTACCCGCCATCACCAGGACCGTTGCTCGTGTGTCTGATCAATCAGGAGAACCTCTCCGCATCCCAGCTTTCACTCATGTGGCCTTGTTTGATGCCCGTAGCTCATGTGGTAGTCTTTTGTAGCTTCAGAAAAATTCCTACTGAACTTCATGAAATTATACATTTTGGAACTCAACTTTTAAGACTGAAAAATAGCCAGTTGAATGGAATGAAAGTCCTTGCTAGACTTCACCGCACCAGACAGTTCCTTTCCATGTAAAACCCCTGTGCGGGCTCTGGTTACAGGACATAATTCCCGGAGTGATGAACTGGAAGAGGTTCCAGTGCCTGGTTCTCTCATCCCTGCCCGAAACCTCTAAGACCGAGACGACACTGAGGTAAGCCACTCACCCGTTGTCTCCCAGGTGTATGTGTGCCCCGTGGGTGGCAGAGCCTGTGATTCCCTCAGAGTTACAGGCCAATAATATAGCAAATCATACTTTTAGTGCATGAGGGGAGTTTGCTAGTCAGAGAACTAGGGTGATGTGTAACTGACTTTCATATTTTGACTTTATCTTAATCAGGATCTACATGAAAAAGTCAATGTCACAGGCGGCTAATTGGCCATATTTCAATAAAAGACAACAACCAGTCCAGATAATTCAGCTGAAATAATCATTGTCCATTTTTAACATTTTTAAAAGGACCCACTTCTCTCTCATACCCCAGCCTGGCCATTCCCTGGGAGGTCCCACATCTGCCATCACACAGAGGCAGAGACAGAACAGGTCCAATGAGAATATTGTTAGACCAAAGAAAGAAGAAACTGAGAGTCACCACATTTTTTTCCCATTTGCTTAACACCTCTTCAAAGCCCTAAGGTGTGAAACAAGTAGCTTGATGCCTTTTCTTTAGGACTCTGCCTGGTCAATAACCTACTCCCGGGCTCTTGAATCTGCTTCCATAGTCCATTGTCCTTATAAACATAGTTAAAGGAGTTGCTGGTGAGGAAATGTGACTAGTATCCCAACTTGATTACCATCGGCAGACAAGCCAACCGGACGAGTGAAGATCGTGCTCTGCCTTGACGTTATAGTTTTAGTAGAAGTAAGAAAGCTCCCCCAGTGTGCCCCGACCCCATGTGTACAGCCCATTGATGACCCAGCCCTCCCTGAGCATCGGGGGAGATAGTTGAAATCCAGTCGATGACTGTAGAACACTTAACACGACTTCTTCCTTCGCGGCCAGCAGAAGAGCTCTTCCTGAATTAAGCAAACTCCAACCTGACTTCCCAAGGCTTTTCCACATGCTGCCCCTTTTGGGTTGTTTCCTCAGGGCTTTTCTACAACGCTCCTTTGCCTGGAGACTAACATGAGATTACACACAATATTTGGGACACGGGAGGAGCGCAAAAATATTAGTTCCTTTTCTGTGAGTTCATCTGTGCCTCATCCACCCCAATGCCGTCTCATAATAAACCCAGCGTTTTTATTTTTCATCTTGGCATGTTTCTAAAATCTGAAGTCTCAGAAATCGAAGGCAGGAGGAACAGTGACACTGTGGAGAAAACGAATGCTTTGGCGTCTCACAGACCTGCCTCCGGTCCCCACTAGCTGTGTCACCCACTCTGTGTCCTCAGGGCGAGTTACCCATTCCTGAAGCCCTTGGGGCAATCATTTCCTCATCTGTGAAACAGGGATGGTAATGGCGTCCCCACCAGCCATTGTTGAGGATTAAAGGGAGGCATCTCGCTAGTCTTTAATAACTCCTCCTGCTCCCACCCCCACCCACAAAACCTTGCCGTCACTGTCTTGCCACCAGACGGCAATGATCTGCAACCGCCTTGACACACTGCCTTATTTTGCTGGGGGGTGGGGGGCGGCGGTGAGAACACTTCCACATTGAACCCTGGAATCAGTAAACCCAACATAGCTGGGTGTGGGGTACCGGAGAACACTGAAGAAGCAAAATGAGAAACAGTGGGAGGAGAAGACTGCCAGTGTCCACCAGCTGTTAGCAAGCACATGTCCCAAGAATTAAGAAAAAAAAAAATCCCATTTTTTTTTTCCCAAAGCAGTGGCCTTGGAAAAATCTCCTGAGGCTGTTCTTTCAAAAGGCACTCAGAATGCAGTTACCTGGGGCTTCAATTAACCATGAATTAAACATGAATTCTACATGAATTAAAGAAAATTCTCTATGAGTTGTTACTTTTAGCTTCTGTGCCTGAGTGCTCTGATGGGCCAATTTGTTTCAAAATAAACCATAATTGCATAACAGATTATAAAATCAAGAGCAGATTCTTTATCTCTTTATTGTGGATTTCCATGATTTAAGATTGTAGATCATGTTTTTGTTTCTGCAAGAGTTATAAAATAATAAGGGTGTTCCTTTCTAACTTCCTACAGGTCCACTAATGAGACTCCACCTTTGCAGTCATTTTCCTTGAATAGATGACCTGTTTCTTAGCTGGTATTTCCCTTGTATTTTTGCTCCTGAGAGTTGTCTGTTTATTGGTAAACCATGCAATATCATTATTTAGTATTTATGCCAAGTCACTTTTGTATTCATAATAATCAAAACGGCTCACTTGGTTTCTTTGCTCATTAATAAATTCAGAGAGAACTTGTTGAATCTGTAGGACTTCCATTAAATCTGACAGTCAGCAGCAACTGAAGACATCATTTAATCCAGTAGTGCCCAGACTTTGGGATTTTATAGACAAGTAAAAAGTCCCGAAGAATCTTGGGAACTGACTTAGGGCCGTCGGAGTTTTACTTTGCCAAGAAAGGCATTAAAACAAAGCAAAGCAGAACAAAACTCCCAAACACCATCTTACTGCCTCCACCATTTTCAATTCCAAAGGAACAGATTAGCCCCCAGAAAAAGCAAGAGGGGCATAATCTCAGAATTTAAAAATTAGAGAAGTGTTGTCTCATGGAAACTCTTGGTGGTCGCCTTTCTGTCTTCTGGACCAGCCTGGTCTCTGGAGAGCGGGCCAGGCTTTCGCCTTCTCTCACTCTCTTCTCGGCCGTGATCCCCTCCGACTACACGTGCTCTGAAGTTTCAGTGGGACTGTCAGTTAGGATTTGCAATCTCTGTCATGAAGTCAGTAAACAGGACTCATCTCTGGGCGGTGGAGGCCAGGTTCCTTTTAGTGAGAAATGGTATTAAAGACCAAAATCTGGGTTCTAGGTGCACACGTTGCTACTGAGGGCAAGGGGTGGGTCTTTGTTTTTGGCCTCCTCAGCAGACAAGTCAGAGTGCGTGGGGGTGAAATACATAAATGTATATACGTCTGTATCTGTATATGCACACAATACATATATGTGTGTATATATATGCACACACGTACACATATATATTCATACAAAAATTCATGCGCACATACATATGTACGTTACTGAACTCAGATTCAGCTGCAGGCGGCTCAGAAGCCAATAATTCAAGAGGCAAGTGTCAATAGGGAAGAAAGATGCTTTAATCAGAAAAGCCATCAGCCTGGAGAGAAAGTGGACTCATATCCAGAGACCAACTCCAAAGATTCTGCTCAGCCATGACAGTTTTTAAAGGGAAAAATGGGGGGAGGAATCTCAGTGAATCATCGAGGCAGGAGGTTGGCTTCTGCATCATTCTCCATTGCGTGCAGACTGGCTGACTCTCTCTTCACATGTGATCTGCCTGCAGGATCGCTAAGGGGGCTTTAGGGGCAGAGAGCTAATCAGCAGGTTAGACAAGGCATGGTGTGCATTCAGGAGGGTGTAAGTCAGGAGTTTGTTTCAGTTGCTTAGTGATCTCATTCCTATAATTGGGTTCTTTCAAGGTTAGAGGGGGACAGAAATGGGCAAACAGGAAAGGGGGCAAAAGAGCTGCTGCTTTCAGTTCCCCACTGTCAAACATCATTGCATGTCTGCGGGATTGGGGCAAATCTCCATCTTCTCTAACTTCTGCATGCTGACATAGGGTGAGTATTCTGAGTGGAATGTGTTGACATGGGTCTGCAGCATCTCTTTGCTGACAATTTTAGTTGCTCACTTACATGTACGGGCAGAGCAAGCTACAATTATTTGATGCCCACAAAGGTATAGATAATTATGAGCAACAGTGTTAATCCTGTTCTCTTGAGGCCAGTTCTTGGACATGTGCTGGTCACAGATTCAGTCCTGCCCAAGATGGAGCAGCTTATGTCATGTCTACCGTCTGGTCATCATACAGTCAGCTTTTTATTTCCTCTGGTGGTAATCATAGTATCTGTAAAACAACTCAGGAATGTGCATCAGACACTGAGTCTGTGACTTTTGTCCTGATCATTAACTGCCGGGTTTTGTACTTGGCAGGGGTGGTCCTGCGGGGTTCTGCTCGGCTCCATATACCCATATGGACATATACATGTGCACATAAACACCCATACGCACATATGCTCATTTTAGAAATCATGGATTCAAACCAGTGCTCATAATTCCAGGCCGTATCCGTAGGGTATTGCTTGCTTTTGTCCGTTCCATATTTGTCTGTCTCTTCTTCCCCTGTGAGAGCTCTGGTCTCCTAACACATTCACCCACTTACTCAGTTTCACAGCACATCAAAAACAGTTTCAGAATTGCTTCACCTATAACCGCTTCAAATAAACAAGCATAATAAATAGAGTTCAGATTTATTTGGGGTTTTCGCCCTACCTCCATCCCATTGTGTAGTCAGATACTGTATTTAGAAGTTACTTGAATGGTTCCTCCCTCTTCTCTTCTATTTCTTTTTCTTTTTTTAATTGAAGTGTAGTCAGTTACAATATGTCAATTTCCAGTGTTCAGCAGGATGTTTCAGTGATCCATATACATCTTTTTCTTTTCTTTTTTCTTCTTTTCTTTCTTTCCTTTACTTTTCTTCTTTCTTTCTTTTCTTCTTATTTTGTTCTCTTCCTCTTTCTCTCTTTCTTTTCCTCCAGTGTGATTATGGAATTCATATGAAATATTATGTCAGTCTGCTTTCAGTTTTTCTAGGGGAAGGGTCCCTTCCCTTTCTTATTGACTTAATTTTATTGTTTGAATATGTAGAACATTAACATGCTCATTACCAAATTCAGAACTACACCAAGAGTCAAACTGAGAGAAACGTCTCCCTTCCACGCCTTGTTGGCAGCCAGCCTGGTCTTCTCACACCCTTCCTATGTTTCTCTTTGTAACACTAAACAGAGTATATGTATTTTTCTTTCTCCTCTTTCTTATACAAAATGTGGCCACTGGATATGCTCTTCTGCAATTTGCTTTTTAAACTTAAAATATCTCCTGAAAATTGCTCTATATTATAGCTTTCCCCCTCACTCTTGTTTATCGTTTATAGAACTATTTAACCAGTCTCTGTACTTGTCAAGCAGGTGCATTTTTGTTTATTAAACAACAAGAAGAAACAGCTCCAAGACATAAGTGCACACCTCCTGTTTTCCCATTCCTGCCTCCTGCCTCCTGCCTTACCCTCACCCTGCAGCCTTGCTAAGGCCTGTGAGGAGGTCAGTTTCCTGCCGTGGGTCATTTTTTACTCTTTTTTATGAGACAGCACTCCTCCCAGCTTCTAGAAACTTATTCCAGAAAATTATTAGAAATGTTTATCCATTTGTGTCTTTTTTTCCTATTCTCTTTGCTGTTGTGTGTTCAGTTTTTAGCCCTTTAATTTTATTAGACAGGTGTGTAAGGAGGAGTGGAAACTGAAAAAAAAGGAAAAATTTTTTTAAAAAAGAGTCTTTGTTCTACCAACTTGAAACAGAAATCTGCTTCCAACTTTAAAAATAACAAAATGTTCTTTTCTCCCTATCTCAGTTCTTTTAATGTCCTCAATACCCAGGAATTTTTATACAAAGCTCTAAAATTATAATACCAAACAATAGGTAAGAGGGTGGGGAGGAAGATTTGAAAATGAAAAAACAACTAATGAAGAGTATAAATGTGGGGATAATATTAAGAATAAAAAGTGAACTAACTACTGTCCCCCTTCCCCCGCACTGGGAAATCATATAATTTTAGACACTACAAGTTTGAAAATTCTATGTTTCTAAACTCTGGGAAATGGCTTGTTTGGCACCAAGCTCTTGGATTTGACTGGTACCCATCATCCCCCCTGCCTTTACCTCTAGGGAAGCGTGAGTGGGTTTCCAGGAGTGAAAGAGGACAGAAGGGGAGAGTGAAACACCAGTGGTAAAAAGAAAAGTGCTTGAGGAAATTGTGTAAAGACCCCAAGACTACTAATGTGATCATTCATCCTCGGCTGCTTGTGTGATTTTTCCACAGCTGTGATTCTTTCAATTTAGTCATGCTCCCTATAAACGTCCCTGCCGTTCTTGACGCCTTACCGGAAGAAGACAGGATGGAGACAGTCGAACGGTACTTTGTCACCTTTAGTCTGTCATGTTTTCCAAAACTATGCCAGCTGATGTGAGAATTTCAAAAAAGCACACAGTGCCTGAGCTTGCAGCCCAAACAAGATGAGGCTAACACCCAGCCATACCCCTAACTAGATAAGATGCTAGATTTGTGATGGATTAATAGTCTCTAAGGTCTCGAATTTGCTGATCTTTAAGGTGCTGCAGGAGCTCGAGGGAGGGGCGAGGAGAGGTTGTGCTAATGGGCTTAGAAGTTTTCAGCGCTCACAAGGACCTGGGGTAGTACTTCGAGGATGGGGAGGATTTGGAGAGGCATAAAGAAACAGAAGCTTTAGACCAAGACACTTACATGTGATATAACTCATAAGCATCCAACAGCCAGTGAGAATGTGTCCTTGAATCTCCTGCAGCTGTGCCCACTGAAACATCTTCACATGTAAGTAATCAGTGAATGAAACCTGAATATCTGAGACGTTGATCTAGTTTCCCTAAGACCTGCCCACACGTGGTGCTACTTGGCAGTGCTTAAGCAGCTGAAACTCGGAATCCAGGCGTGAACAGGGAGGTTGAGTGCCTGCTACTCAAACCACTGCATGGGGGCGTTGGCCGGGAACGCTGCGGCGGGGCTGGAATGATCCACGTTTACTGCAGGTGCAGAGGAGCAAGTCCTGTTTGGTGGGGCTGCTGGGGAGATGCTACTGATTTCTGTTCGAATTCCAATGTGGCCATAGAACCTCCTCTGAATCAGTTCAATCTTTTGAAACATTCAAGCTTTCTTTATGGTCCCAGATATGGTCAATATTGGTAAATGTCCCACGTACACTCGAAAAGACTATGAATTCTATAAAAGCCATTCCAGCTAAACATCTTATTTCCTTCTCAGTGAGCTCTGTGAACAGAGTGTAGAAGTTATGTTGACTCCAGAAATGA